AAAAAAAAAAAAGAAAAGAAAAGAAAGGGAAATTAAATAAGATGTTTATCTCTGAGGAAGAATTTATTGCCAAAAATGAGAATCTGATATGAAGACTATGCTTTGAATTACAAACAATATGTGAGCAAATCTAAATTCTATAAGGAATTTCCAGCTTTTAATTTTTCTTAGTAATATAAAGATATTTTTTGCCTCTGAGTTGTAACACATAACACTTGAAGGTAAGACATTTAATATGTTCTTCCTTAGCCAGAGTTATGTGCAAACTGTAACATGGGATAGAATTACTATAGCTTATGAGGGCAGGTCGTATTTCACTATGAATTTTAAATTTGAGACAGCTAGTTGTTTTAAAGGAGAAAAATCCTCATACTTGATGAGACAGCAAACTCTCCCTGCTGCTTTTTGCTTTCCTATGTTCTCCAAGTTCCCTGTAGTGGGCACATGCTTTTTTTTTGATAACATACTTTAAGAAGTGAGACAAAATCTCTAAAAGTGTTTTAGCCCAATTAGTGATATCGAATGGGATAAAAGAAAGAGAACTGCAGACTACTCCGAGGACACTCCTAAGGAGGCAGGTAGTGTTGGGTGAAAAGGCAGAAGCAATAAAGAGGTGGAGACCAGTGGAGGACTGATTAGATACAGTAAAAAACGTTCATCAGAACAGCCGGACTAGCATCGTAAACATACTGTAAACGAGTGTAGCCTCATGCAGAGGTGAGGAAGGGAGAGCAGGTAGGGAGATGTCCACTAAGGTGAAAAAAGCAGGTCATGCACGGAGACACTCTACGATACTCAAAGTTACTGAGGACAACCCAGAAGCAGTGTTTCTCCAAGTGTAAGCCTTGGATCCCCTGCAGAGGAATCACTTGGGGGAAGTAGTTAAAAAGGTAAATCAAGTGACTCCCATCTAGAGATTCGGATAAGGAAGTCTGCATTTTTACAAGTACCCCAAGAAATCCTGATGTACTCCAATGTCTGAGATTCACTGATTCCCAGTTCTGGAAAAATAAAACAGCTTATAGCCAAAGTGCTTATTTTCTTTCTTGGTGTAACTAAGGCATCGATTCACTCATTCACTCATCTAAATTGCTTCTGAGACACCAGTGTTGAATGAATATTGAGTCTCGAAGGCGCTTGTTAAAACTCAAGATTTCTGGGCCCTGCCCTCAAGATTCTGATTCAGGAGGTTTCAGGGGGGCTTAAAATCTGTATTTTAAACAGAATCACAGACAATTAATTCACACACCTTAAGAAACACTGAGTTGGAGAGTGAACAAAAGCCAAATCATAGGCCCTAGACATTCGTTTTGCTTTCTCTCTGGGTAACTTTGCTTTCTCTCTGGGTCAATAGCATTCACTCATTAATTCTGCCTTCCTCACGAAAAAGACCTTATTATGGGGGGTAGAGAGGGCACTTTATCCTCACCCTGATCACGGGTTACCTTACCCAAGAGGAGAAAAATACAGACAGGTTGGAGAACCGTTTTGGGTTACCTGGTACTCATTTTTGAACATTCCCGCAGGGGTCTCAGGGCTTGTGGGCACAGAGTTCAGGGTTTCCAGCGAGTGGCGTGACCCTGACGGCTGGAAATCGGCTGGCGGGAACCCAGGAGCCCGACGGGCGGGGAAGGGCTTCGTGCTTGGCCCCAAGTTGAGCAGGCTCTTCTCAGCCCCTCCGGCCCCTGGTCAGCTCCATCTCGGGCCCTCGACCCGCACCATTGCGGCCCCAGCCTCCGGGGTGCCCGGGTCTGGGGAGGTCGCAGCTGCCTGGACGGGCTCCGGGCCGTCCTAGGGAGTGATTGTGTGCGTAACCTACGTGACGGGGCGACTAGCGGAGCCACCGACAACCGCCAGCTCGCCTAGAAAAGCGGGCGCGTTGCTGCTGCCGCCCCACCCCGAAATCCGACCAGCGAGAGGGCAACGCCGAGCGCCACCAGCGTTCCGGCCACGCCCATTGGTTCCCACCGGGCGCCTGCGCATTGCGCTCTCTGGGCTTAACGCCAACGGGCACGGGAAGCTACGCGGTGACGTAGCGTTGCCCAGGCAACCGCGGGACTCCTGAAGAAATGGTGGAGGCTTCAAACAGTGACCAGCACTCCCCTTAGGTCATGACCTCTGCCAGCTAAAAAGCCTAAACTCAGCGTGGATTAGGACTATGCCAGGTACTGGACTCTTTTAGTGTACCTGCTACATCCGCTTGATCTCTACTCGTGGTAAACTTTGATAACTGGTAGGTTCCTGAAGGATACAGTCATGGACTCATGGAGCCCTCACGAGGCCTTTGGTTCGAGGGTTCCCAAATTTGGGTTCGTTGAGGCAGTAAGAGGGTCTGCTGGACCCTTTCATTGTTTCAGAAGACCCTAGGAAGCCAAGAGTTTTTGTTGAAAATAACTTATATTATCGAGACTAGCACTTGCTTAAGTGTAACTATTGTTACTTTATTTAGTTTCTAGATCAGAACCACTTCTTACATGGAAGGTACAATTGTTAATTTTTGGCTAAGTAACTGTGGCTCAGAAAGGTTAAATGGCTTGGCCAAACTCATATGGCACCAGTTAGAGATTCTTGTCTGATGCTGTGCTCATGGCTGAGTTAGGTCAATGGCATAGGTTAATACTCATAAAATCCCTGCTATAGGCCGAGTGGCTCACAGGTTCACAATTCTGTGAGGTGAGGGTTTGTCTCCTTTCATTTGAGAAGACTGAGATTCACAGTTATTAGGAATTTACTCAAGGATGCAGTGTTGGGTTTCATTTATGTTTTAGTCTAAGGCCCAGTATCATTTCACTTCACCCGAAACCCTCAAACATTTATGGTCCTATCATATGCCAACTACTATGGATTATGTAAGGGATGCAAAAATGAATGTTATTTGAACCTGCTCCTTACCAAAGAAAAGAAGAGCAGGTAAGGAATAAACCCTCTTGAACATTCTAAGCCAAATAACAGATGGAAGGGAAATAGAAGTGGGGCCATGGCACAGCTATACATTGCAGGATAGTGTCTAGAATCAGACTTTCTGATTTCTAGACCATCAAATTTAATTCAACAGCAGTTTCTTGCAAGGCTTTGTGCTGGAGGCTTTGACAATTGTGATCAATTTACGTGGTCTCTGTCTTATGTAGGTAAGTTTGTGGGGGACATTTACCCACTAATTGTTTTAACAGTTTCTAGGAACATAAGGTGTTTCAAATTCTATGCTAAGAGACTGAGTGTGCACTGAATGGCCCCACCTTCATGGATCTTACATAGGGGAGTGAGACAGATGATAAATAAAATAGCAAATAATTACAACTTGTGATAAATATCATGAATTCTCCTGGGAGTAACATTGGATGAGTACATTAGTTTCTTGTGGCTGTTGTAACGTTACCTCAAAGGGAGTAGCTTAAAACAGCAGAAATGTATTATCTCATAGTGCTGGAGGCTGATGTCCAAAATCAGTGTCAGTAGGGCCACACTCCCCTTGGTGGCTTTAGAGGATAATCCATCCATTCTTTGCCTTATCCAGCTTCTGGTAGCTGTTGGCACCCCCTTGAATTGTGGCTCCATTTCTCCAGTCTCTGTCTCACCTCCATGGTCACATTGCCTTCTCCTCTTCTGTGTGTGTTTTGCCTGTGTGTCTCTTATAAAGAGGATTGTAATAGTATTTAGGATCAACTTTGATAATCCAAGGGAATCTCTTTATTTCAAGATAATTGAATCACATCTCCAAAGACCAGTTTTTCCAAATAAGGAAACATTTACATGCTCCAGGGAGTTGATGTGAATATCTTTTTTGGGCCACTGTTAATAATTAGGATGGCAAATGGTGTAACGAGAATCCGGGAAGAATCTAGGGGACATCTTATGGCTTCTAACAATCTACCTGGGTCTCTGAAAAGGGTCTTTTGACACCATAGTTGAAATGAAATCCACAACTTTGCCCCACTTTATATTCTTTCTACCTCTTATGATTTCATGAGTTAGTTAATGTTTATCATTTATCTTCAACTAAAAGGGTGAATAACCTCAATTTATTGATAAAAATGAGCTACGAGTTGAAAATGAATAATTACAGTGAATCAGTAAGTCTTATTATTTAGGTGTTTTTGGTTTTGATCACCAGTTTATTCAACTTAAGACTAGAAAGAAAGTGTCCATTTATTTCAATGTCCTTACTTCCTAAAGAGAAAATAATAGTCCAAAGCCAAACATTGTATCCTGACCGTCCTAACTTCTAACAAGTTCAGGAGACTTAGAGTTGGATTTTCATTAGCAAGCATGGTATAAGGCCAGTCCAAGCAATGGGTGAATCTGAAAGCTGCCCAAGTTTATCAATGTTATTTTGACTATGGTGAGAGCTACCATTAACAATGACAATGGTAGCAATAAAGAAAAATTAAGAGTGTGCAGTACTTTTACAGCATGAGTTCAAAATCAGAGAAGGGAGGAAGTCCAACTTTGCAATAGCAAGTACTCTTCAATTTGGTTGAATGCAAGCTGTGAACAAAAACTTGGATTTGACTGTGACTTGAAGAATATCTAGCAGTATTCTGAAAAAAAGTAAAAAGCCAGCCTGCCCAAACAACTTGGCTTAAACCAAGTTATTTATGTTCATTATAAAAGACAGTGAAACAATTTCTTTAATTGCTACAATTTTTTAAGAAGTTGGTACATTTAGTAATTGAGTTAAATTGCTTAACTCAATTTGACAACATTAAGAATTAGTCACTTTACAAGCTGTAAAGTGCTTGCCTTTGTTCTACAAAGTAATTTGAAAAAAAAGAAAGTAATTTGGTGGTATATTAATATTAAAGTATATTGGATAGTATTTAAAATGTAATAGACTAGAAACTGTTTTTAAAGGGTGGCAGTGTTTGTATGCCAATGTAGCCATTCAAGTTAGATGAGTATGATTTTCAATTTGACAAGAAATAATATTCTTTTGATCTAAGAATGTATTGTATTTACCACAATATTGTTGTAGTTTATATTTTGGTTACAGTACATAGCAAATTATTTGGCTAATAGGAAGAAATAAGATATCTGTTTCAGCAGAATTTGTTCTGATGCACAATAATGTAGAATGTTGACTACTTGAAGGGTTATTTTAATTTTTATGCATTATGGAATAGCTTTATGAGTGATAATGCTGATAGGAAAATTTTGAAACTGGGCCTATTTTATACTTTTAAGCAAGAAAAATTAATGCTACCAAAGTTACCCATTTGACAGTTGATTTGAGAATAGTGGTATCTTCTCTTTTCCAGAAAGTGTGGAATGGTAAAAGTTTTTGAGGGTTTTACTGTTTTTAGATTTTCTCCTCAAATGGGGTTTTCCCCCTTCCCAGGTCCACAAGATCCTGTGGGGACTATTTCTTACCTGTACCTGTACATTACCAAGTACTACAAAAGTCATACATAAATTTAAAATTTCTAAAACCAGCTACCACTTGAAAACTTTCTCAGGAAAACAAAACAAAACTGTCCCAGTAGTTGGATCTTTAGGTATGAATACTTTCCTAAAGCAGTTTTACATAGCAAGAACTTAGATTTAGAAAAATGAGCCAACCGCATCTTTGAATGGAATAAATTAATTGAGTGGATATTTAATACTGATGTTTTTACAATGACATAAATGATCAAGGCTTTTAAAAGAAAAGTTAGATCTAAGTAGCAAGTTTTTCTTGGATAACTTTCCCTAACCTAAAGTCAGTTAGTGTTGATTTGTGATAAGAGGGTTGTAGAAAACTGGATGTCTACATGAGAAAGAATGAAATTGGACTCTTGCTTTACTTTTTAATTTATGTAAATGAATTAGCTCAAAATGAATCAGAGACATAGACCTAAAACTATAAAACTCTTATAAGAAAACATGACTGGGTGCAGTGGCTCAGGCCTTTAATTCTAGCACTTTGGGAGGCTGAGGTGGTGGATCATGAGGTCGAGAGATCGAGACCATCCTCGTCAACATGGTGAAACCCCATCTCTACTAAAAATACAAAAAATTAGCTGGGCATGGTGGCGCGGGCCTGTAATCCCAGCTTTTCAGAAGGCTGAGGCAGGAGAATTGCTTGAACCCAGGAGGCGGAGGTTGCGGTGAGCCTAGATCATGCCATTACACTGCAGCCTGAGTAACAAGAGCGAAACTCTGTCTCAAGAAAAGAAAAAAAAAAAAAGAAAGCATAAGGGGAAAACTTCATGACATTGGACTTTGCAATGATTTCTTAACAACCTAGAGTAGATCCAGCTGCATCTAGGGGTCAGAAACACTATCAGGTTTCCTTTCTCCACATTGCTTCCTCTGGGTTGTCTCAGTCCTTAGACTGGTTCTCTTTAGGTTTACAAAATGGCTACAGCATTCTCAATTTTACATTCTCATATCACTAAATAGAGCATTTGGGACTAAAGTCCTGAAGTTCACTTCATTTGGATCAGTTTAGGTGATTTGCCTATTTCTGAACTAAACTCTATGATCTAGAGGCTATATGCTTAAGACTAGATTAAATGTTCATTCTTAAACCAGTCACTGCAACTACGGAAATGAGATCTATTGATTGGCTGGGAATGGGGTACCAATCAAATATATAACTAGGAATGGGGAAGGATTGCTTTCCTAGGGAAACTCTGGGTCCTCTTATAGGGAAGGAGGAAGATGGATATTGGGCAACCAAAAGGAGATATTCACTCACTCTAGTGATTATTTTAGAAATAACAGACACCAGACATATATATATATATATATATATATATATATATACACACACACACACATATATACGTATGTATATACATACATATATACACATATGTATATATTAATTCTAACTATACATGAATAATTTAATAAGAAAGAAAGGTTCTCTAACATTCTTTACGTGATTTGATATACATGTGTATAATCCAAGTATCATAGGCCCTTTTCATTATCTCAGGATTTATGTTAACTCTTAATATCCA